CTCCTCCTCCTCCTCCTCCTCCTCCACTGATACAATGACGGCCGCTCAGGCGGGCATCTCTCACATCACCAACCCTGACACAACAACCGACAACACCCCCACCTCCTCTGACTCCAGCGATGAGGATCAGGGCGACACCTGCCCTCACTACGACCGCACCTTCACCTCACACATCGTCCTGGTCGGTCATTTGCGAATCTATCGCACAGAGACTGATGAACCAGTATCTGGAGCACCAACCTACAGCGACCGCACTCGCTTCCAGTGCCCACGCTGCCCTCGCACCTTCACGCATCGCATGCACCTATTCGGCCACATGCGCATCCACGAGAGCGGGATTGACCACAATTCTAACACACCCACCACACCCAACACATCCACCATGCCAAGCCCCACCCTCGCTCCATCGCCCTGCGCGCCCATCACCATCACCACCACCACCACCACCACTGCTTCAACCGCGGCTGACACCGACAACGCCGACTTCTCGTGCCCACTCAGCCCACGCACGTTCACTTCACGCATCGGCCTGGTCGGTCACTTGCGAACCCATCGCACAGAGACTGGCGAACCAGTGCCTGGAGAACCAACCGATACCCACCAAGCTCGTCTCAACTGCCCACACTGTCCTCGCACTTTAAGGCATCGCATGGACCTATTCGGTCACATGCGCATCCACGACGACCTGCGGTAGACAACCGCCGGTTACACCACACATCCACACAATCCCTACCTCCCGCCACCATCACCACCACACATCAACACTCACCCACCACATGCACCCAACTACCACCTGGCACGCAAGCGGGAAGTGCGCATCTGGACTCGGTCCCCATGCGGCTTCGGCAGCACGGGTGATTTTGAGTCCGAGACTATCCCGACACGCCAAGCGTCGAGGATAGGAAGGTTGCTGATTGAGGCCTCAATCGGTCCACGCAGTTCGTTACGTTTTGTATGTGTTGTATGGAGTGGCGGACTGGTGGGCTGGGGACGGGTTGAAACAGCACCTTCCACGGCCCTCTCACCCAAGTGAGAGACACGCCGATCAACCCCCGTTGTGTGAAATCCTGGTGTATGTGTGTATGGGGGCCAGGTCGTGCTGTGGCGCGCGCAGGCATGGTCAGTCGACCGTGCCAGTCACCGCGCCCATTTCCCACTCCAGTCTGCTAACCGGCTCGGACAGCGGCTGGGGTGTGGGAATGGGAAGGGAGAGTGAGGTCGACGACTTAGCGCACTTTCCTCACTATAAACAATCTGACGCGCTTGAAGCAATCACGGTGCGCTAAAAGCCGTGGCTTGGAAGGTTGCCAACTGACGGGGTAACTTGGACCTTCTCCGTGACTGGTGGAGGCCCCAGAGTCAGGCTGCAATGGCTCCTTCTTAATGTGGCCTTTATGGCACTCCCATCACAGTGTGGGATCCGAGCCAGGCGTTGGCGACACGCCTATGTGCGGCTCCGGTCGTGCCAGTCTCCAAACTCTTTTGTGTTGGTTGAAATCCTGGTCATTTGTTGTGTGGTCCAGGGGGTGTGTTGGAACGCCAATGTGGGGATCCGTCCGAGCCATCCACCTGGAATTAAACCAAACTTAACTACAATTAGCTGTCCTTTACAACTGTAAGTAGATGAGTCCTCTGTTGTTGCAGGTCTTCGGGACAATGTGTTTGCATTGTATGTTTCGTCCCTAGCGGTATAGGCAGGTAAAATCAAATTGTTTTAGAGATTTCTGCCATCTAGTCAACTGTCCTTCGGCGTCTTTCATATTTTGCAACCATTGTAATGCCTTATAATCCGAACGGATAATAAAATGTCTCCCTAATAGGAACGGTTTGAATTGTTTGACGAAGGTCATCAGGGCAAATAACTCCCTACGAAAGGTGCAATAATTTCGTTGCGCCTTATTTAGAGACTTGCTAGCAAAACAAATTGGTCGTTCGTCCCCTGAATTGTCTGTCTGTGATAGAACTCCGCCAATAGCAAATCCGCTAGTGTCTGTATCGACGACAAAGCGTGGAGCATCTGTAGATGTGTTCGGTAGCATTAACACCGGGCCCATATCAGTCGACTTTTTAATTCTTCGAACGATGTCGGGCAATCATCCGTCCAAGCAAATTGTCTACCTTTCTCAGTCAATCGGTGTAGAAGTCGTGCAATCTCTGCGAAGTGCGGGATAAACCGTCAGTAATATGATGCAAGGCCTACGAAACTGCATACCTCGGTTGCTGACTTCGGCGGGAGCCACGCGCGGATAGTGTCGATTTTTTTCTGCAGATGCGTATATGCCTTCTGCACTGACCTCATGGCCCAGGTATATGACCTTCTGCCGAAGGAAAGAACATTTTGCGGGGTTCAGGTGTAAACTAGGGTCACGTAAAGCTGTCAGTACCGCCATGAGCCTACGGTTTTGTTCGTCTACAGACCTTCCGAACACAATCACGTCGTTAAGATAGACCAAGCAGTGTGTTGGAAAAAGGTGTGCTAGAACCACCTGCATCAGTCTTTGGAAAGTAGCCGCACCGTTACAAAGACCGAAAGGCATGGTCTCAAATTCGAATAATCCTTGTAGCAGTATAAAAGCCGTTTTATGTATTCGCCGCTCAATCCGGGTTGGATAAACTCCTAGTGTTCGTCTACATGAACCATGTCGTGCATGTGGCGCGCGCAGCCAGGGTCAACTAGATATGTCAGCCACCGCACCTCTCAACTGACCGGCTCGGACGATAATTCGGGCCTGCGAACGGGGAGTGTAGTCGACAGCTCGGCACATTTTCCTTACTACAAACAACATTAAGAAAGAAATCAACAGGAAGTACAACTTTTGGAGAAAATACTGCGTCACTCGTTAAGTGGAATATTTCAACACCTACAAGACACAAAGAAACAAACTGCGAATGATGATTGTAAAAACGCGGCGGGAATTCCAGAAGAACTTGCTACATAAAGCAACACAGAACCCAGAATTACTCTTTAGCTTTCTTCGACGACTTATGGGGAAAAGGCATCAAATTACCTTAATATGGACTACTGATGGCGTTGAGATTGCTGATAGTAGGGATAAAGCTGCGTATTTTCACAGTTTTTCCAATCGGTCTACACTAACGAGGCAAAGTTCCTTCTTTCTCCACAGAAGGAATGCCCGCCCCAGGCATCAGTGATATAAACTTCTCAGAAGGCATTGTCCGAAGAGAGTTAGAGGCATAGAACGAATCGATGTCATCAGGACCAGACGGGATTCCACCCAAGCGTCTCAAGGAACTTTCCACTGAGCTGTCTCTGCCTTTGTCGATGCTCTTTTACACGTCACTTGACACTGGAACGATTCCTATCGGTTAGAAGCTGATGCATATTACTCCTCTGTACAAAAAAGGTGCCAGGGCGTCGACGAAAAAGTACAGGCCCGTAAGGTTGACATGTATTCTCGGCAAAGTAATGGAAAGGATTATTAAGAGTGAACTGATGCATTTCCTGTCGAAATGCCAACATGGGTTCCGGAAAGGAAGATTCTGTACGACAAACTTGCTGCAATCTCTCCAGAGCTGGAACCGAGGTCTCGACGACAGGCAAACGGTTCACATAGCCTTCACTGATTTCCAGAAGCCGTTCGATACTGTGCCAAGCCAAAGGCTGTTACTTAAAATTCAAAAAAATTGGGATCGGTGGCAACTTCCTCAAATGGATCGAAAACTGCCTTTTGGGTCGACACCAGATTGTGCGCATCACTCAAGATCCTGTTACCGTCGAGAGTGTTGTCCCCCAGGGTTCAGTATTGGGACCTATTTTGTTCCTTATATGCGTGGACGATGTCTCAAGAGCTTTAGACTCTGAAGTAACAATGTTTGCCAATGACATAAAGATATGGAGTGTAATTCGGGGTACTGCGAACGAAGACAGACAGGTGAACCTAACTCGGTTGGAGGAGCGGTCAACCCGTTGGCTCCTGCAGTTCAGCGTTGGCAAATGTAGCATACTTCGACTAGGCAACACAGCCAGATCCGCCAGCACCAGAGATTACTTTCTGGGCGGTTCAGCCCTACAAGAGGTTGAAGCCCAAAAGGACCCCGGCGTGCTGACAGCGAGTTCCCTAAAACCATCCGTCCAAAGTTCGAGAGTGGCAAAACCCCCAATGTCCGTACTGTTTGTCATCAAGCGTGCGTTTATGGATTTCGACGAAGATGCTTTCTCAAAACATTCGGAACATTCGTCCGTCCGCATTTGGAGTACGGCATACAAATCTGGACACCGTGGGCGGTTGAGGATCAAAACTGTGTCGAAAGAGCTCAAAGGAGAGCCGCGAAGATTGTTAGCGGTCAAAGCTCTTTCCTTATGCAACCCGCCTAATAAATCTGAACCTCTTCCCTTTGAGTTACAGTCGACTTCGCGGGGATCTCCTGCAAGCCTTCCGCATTGTATAGGGGTTGGATTGCAGTCTGGCCTTCGAGGACTTTTTTGAATTTGCTATCACGAACAACCTCCTAGGTCACCCGTTAAAGCTGCGCACTCAACAGGCAAGGCTGGATGTGCGGAAGTTCTCCTTTTCTGTTCGAGTGGTCAAACCATGGAATGCCCTTCTCGCAGGTGTTGTGATGTCGCCATCTGTACGTATACAGCTATAAATATTTGTGTTCCGAAATGGCCAAGAGGGGGGAGAAGTCGAGCTCACCCCCCGTAACTCGTTCCCAATTTGGCCCACAATTATGTGCTTGTTTGGACTATTTCTGTCCAGAACATTTTTTCTATATACGACACATTTTTTACGTTGCAAATAGAGTACTCAGAAGCTCACGCCAATATTCCTCAATAAACTGAGCTGAACTGAACCTGACGCGCTTGAAGATATTAGGTGCAGTAAGAGTCATGGCTTGGAAGGTTGCCAGCTGACGGGATGACTTAGACCTTGCAGTCTGTACTGTGTTGTGTGCTTGTGTGGAGCGGCCAACTGGTGTTCTACGAGTCAGGCTGCAATGAGTCCTTCTTAATGTGGCATCTATGGCACTTGCACCCACATCAGCTACGCATTATAAATAATGCACGTCTTGTGAATTCACTACCTTCTGCTGATGGGTTCGAGCGAGAATCGGAAAGGTCACGCCAAAAAACTCTTGTTCCAGTGATCTTACCCCACTTCTTCTGAGCCGGAATAGAATCCAGATCGTTAAATTCATGAAGTTAAATGGATTAGGCAAAAAATCATCTCCAGGACCTAAAATAAGTGATAAACGACAGTCCCAGTGATAGTCAGCAAAGTAAATAACGAGAAATAGACAAATACGATCCTTCTCTAACGCACTTGGATGACTAATTTGGGTACTCGTGTCCGATTTCTGACTCGGACTTATATAAATGTCCTGGGTGAATGAGGTCTAACTCTACTAGCGACGGAGTTTCATCCATTACGATTTTCTATCCCAAGACACTTTGAAGGACAGAGAATAAACAAGCCGATAAAGCCCAGCGGGTAATATCCGCGAATAACCAACCATAACCACATATGGCAGCTGATTATTCATATTAACTCAGGACAGGCGCTTTTGCGGTTATGAAGATGTGAAGACGTTGATTATCAGCAATATCAGGTAAAGTTCTAAGCTAAGAAAGTGGAAGAAATAAGAGTGAGAGAATTACCCTAAACTGCATTCCGGGCTGTTGTCCCACGCATAGTTGAATACTGGCAGTTATATCCCCGGAAGTATGTCTATTGGACGTTCTACCATTGGAGGTTTGCGGCGGTGTGTGCAAGGGACCCGCGCTCAAGCCCACGTGCCCTGAGACGCATGAAATTCCCGCGGGCGCAACAGCCTGGATGCTGGTGCGTCCTTAGTGGGAAGAACGGAATGTCGTGGATGGAAACGACGTTACATTGGCACAGTGTATTCGGGTTCACTGATGAAGTCACCGAACGTTACAAAATATTGCACTTTCGAATCCAACTAAACACATTGAGGGATCAGATGGATACCACACCTTCGACCGCCCTTTCCATTCAACTCTCATTTGTGCCCCCATAATGCCATAATCAGCATTACAGTCAAAGGCCGGCAACCGGTAACTGACTGACTAATCCATATAAGGGTTACCCTGTGCGTATCTTCGCACACGGCAATCACTCCACCAAGCCCCGCTCCAAAAACCGGCAAATCTCAGTCTGTTCAGTTATTTTCCCCTATACAAATTAATTTAGCATAGTACAGTTCGACAGCCAGCTGACATAACATCACAGACATTGACAAGAATTAGAAATGATCGCTGGATCCAGGGCTTTATTTACCTGACATTTTGGATTCTCGATCGTACCCATAATCGGGCACAGTAACAGAAACGGGTGAGGATAGCACAGGAAGTTGCTGTATTTAACGGATGCAGTTACTATGCTACCTGCTCTCATCTTCATCGAGAATTGTTGTCCGCTGGTGCGCTAATGGCTTGATGTACACTATTCAAGTTGTTAATTGCTGAAGTCACATAATCTGTGTTGGATGCTGGCAGGATGATTACTCAGCCATCTGGCTAACCAGACTCCCGCTACATGACGGTTAGCTACTTTGTCTAGACTATGACTCAACACCGAATATGGAGGGAGGATGCTGTTGCACATGTTCATAGACTGGGGTCCAGTGAACCATGACTGAAATAACTCCCGCTTCACGTAACTATCACCTCCCGAGGGAATTTCGGCCTCGCGGGCCACTTCCTGTGCATGAGTCACCCGTTTCTGCCACTGTCTCTGATGATGGGTTCAAGTGGGAATCCGAAACGTCAGGCAAATAAAGCCCTTGTTCCAGCTATCGATTCTTCTTATCATCTAGTTCCTGGAGCTCGCATCTTCGCATGTATCGGCTATTTCAGCCTCATGGAACTTGATTGTATGGCCGGGTCTCGTCGAATAGGCCGCGACCTGAGAGCTGGCGTCATTTCTCCGCACCACTGTTGCGTGCTCGACGATTCGCATCCGCAGCAGTCTTCCAGTTTCTCCGACGTAGTGGCTTTACTCGCAACTGCACCATATCCAGTAAACGACTCTAGATGTTTATTGCTGGACCTGTACACAAGCCGTAAACATACTTCCTCGTGTGGAAACTAAGCCCAACAATAATGCCCCTCTTTCCGAAGGTAACAACCCAGACGATGTAGAACAAGATCATGGGAAAATTTCCGCGGGCCAACCGAATCTGCAAATCGGATTTACACATCCAATCTACAAATGCGGTGGCACACAATCCACGGCGGAGCGTAGCTCACTGATGAAAGTGATGTGGCGACAAAAACAGATCCCTAAAGAATTGACGTAAACAACGAATACTCATCACTTCAACGAACACGAAGGAAGCTGGCATTTCTGCGATAACCACTGCGGAATCTCTCTTTTCTGAAATGTCAGCAGCGTATTTATCCGCGTTCTACTCGATAGCCCGGCTGTGGCAGTATGGCTCAAAGGCACTCCACCTTACGGCCTATTAAAACGTCTGTTTCAGAGTCTCGGATTTTTGACGGCTGATTCGGACACTACGGACTATTAGTCAACACAATTCTTGGAGAGGCTTAAAGGGGGAATTCTCTTGCCAAATGAGGTCATGGTATCTTTTGATATCACGTCCATCTTTACTTCTATCCCCTAGGGTCTGGTAATCGAGACCGTCGAGCGACCCCTACAAAGCAAATACAATGAAATGGAGAATCGCCTCGGACATGCCCATGTCCTTCAACTTCTAATGTTCTGTCTCAGCACGTACTTCCCGTTTGACGGAACAACTGACGAGCAGGTTAAGCGAACACCAACGCCGATCGGGGGCCCTTATCCGAGGCAATCGTACAACGGTTAGAGTCGCTGGTCCTGCAAAACCATAAACCGAAATCCTGGGGTAAGTATGTGGACGATACCTTCGTCGTCATCGAACAGGATCGGGTGCTAATATTAAAAGAACGGCACAGCAACGTCTTCCCGGACATACGATTTACGAGGGAAGAGGAAGAAAACAACCAGCTTACCCCCTTGATGTCCTCGTCTGTCACAAAAATAGTGGTGGTATGAAGTCTAAAGTATTCAGGAAGTCGACAAAGACGACGTAAATGTCGAATTTCTACAGCAACCACCAAATCAACCACAAGCGCAGTGGCGTGAGGACGCTATATCGGCGAGTTGAGACGCTTTGCAGTGAAACGGAAGACAAGGTTGCCGAATTCAAATATCTTCGACGGGTTTGTGGGAAAAAATGGTTATCCGCTCAACTTCGTCAAACGGCGCCTGCGCAAACAAGACGAACGACAAAATCATACCGACTTCTATTCTGTCGAGCGATCCCGTATATCATGAACGCATCGGAGGACACTAGCCGACTTCTCGCACCACATGGGGTTGGGGTTACACACAGACGCGGAGGGCACCATAAGGCGTAAGGTAATTGGACCAAAAGACCCACTGTCATGACAATAAACATCTGAAGCTTTTTACAGGATATGGTGCAGTTGCGGGCAAAGCAACTACATCGGAGAAACTGGAAGACTTGTCCGGACGCGAATAGCCGAGCACTCAACAGTGGTGCGGAGAAATGACGCCATTTCTCAGGTCGCGGTCCATTATACGAGACGCGGCCACACATTCAGGTTCCATGAGGCCGAAATTGCCGATACATGCGAAAGTGCGAGCTCCAGGAACTAGATGATAAGAAGAATTGATAGCTGGAACAAGGGCTTTATTTGCACGACGTTTCGGATTCCCACTTCAACCCATCATCAGAGACAGTGGCAGAAACAGGTGACTCATGCACAGGAAGTGGCCCGCGAGACTGAAATTCTCGCGGGAGGTGATAGTCACGTGAAGCGGGAGTTATTTCAGTCATGGTTCACTGGACACCAGTCTATCAACATGCGCAACAGCATCCCCCCTCCATATTCGGTGTTGAGGCATAGTCTGGACAAAATAATTAACCACTTAGGGAGCGAGTAGACCAGTGAGCCAGATGGCCGAGTAATTATATCGCCAGCATACAACACAGAGAGATTGGTTAAATAGCATAGGTATGAGGTAGCATAGCGTCCGAAACCTATAAATACTGCAACTTCCTGTGTGCCAATCACCCGTTTCTGTTAATGACTTTGATGATGAGTACGTGTGAGAATTCGAAACGTCAGGCGAATTAAACTCTTTTTTAAGCAATCGCTTTTATTTCTTACGAACCAGTTTCTAAAACACGCATCTCCTCTTGTATCAAGGCAATTTTTAGGAGTGCACTGTGCTATATAAGACAAAATGCATTAACATGCTCACAATCCCTCCGTCTGTAAGCATACCTAGCCCTGGTTAGTGCAACGGCCGTGGACTCCCCCTCTTCATCTCCCTGGATGCCATCACTGCAAACAATCCTCTCCTCGAAAGCACTCATTTCCCTCTTCCAAGCTCTAAAAGGCTTGGATACTCGCGTGTCCGCGTCACGGGCACTTGTTTCACCTCCTCGACTTCAAGACAGGCTTGGGCGATGTAGCACTGACATGGACGAATACAATGCAGAATATAACAGAAACTGCAGTCTCGTCAGCTCAACGTACTGGCATTAGACTTCTAGACAGGCCGTAAACACACTTCCGCGTGTGGAAACTACTCTTAACACCAGCATCTCTCTTTCGCAGGTAACAACCCAGACGATGTATAACAAAACCATGGGAAAATGTCCGCGAGCTGACCCAATCTACAAATCAGATTTACACATCAAATCCACAAATGCGGTGAAACACAATCCATGGAGGAGTGTAGCCCACTGATTCAAGGGATATGGCGACAAAGGCAGAGCCCTCAAGAATTGACCTAATCAACAGATGCTCATCACTTCCACGAACGCGAAGGATGCTGCCATGCCTGCGATAACCACTGCGGAATCTCTATTTTCTGAAATGTCGGCAGTATATTTAGCCGCTGCTACTTGATAGTACGGTCGTCTCATACAACAACGTCAGCACTGCCCTCGAGTTATGCCCAGCAGCAGCAGCAGCAGCAGCAGCAGCAGCAGCAGCAGCAGCAGCAGCAGCAGCAGCAGCAGCAGCAGCAGCAGCAGCAGCAGCAGCAGCAGCAGCAGCAGCAGCAGCAGCAGCAGCAGCAGCAGCAGCAGCAGCAGCAGCAGCAGCAGCAGCAGCAGCAGTGACTGGCGCGTGAATATGTTCACGATGAAACAGATTTGTGCTGCGTCCATCTCGCCTTCTTCAGCCTCATCGGCCGGGCTGCGATGGCAAGACAACGTCCTGCCAGCCGGGATAGGGCGCAGACGCAGTAGACGGCAGAGCCAAAGAATAAGTTTACTTGTGCTGAATACGACCTAGTTTCTCGACAGTCTTAAGGTTTGTGAACGTCTGCTGTGCCTTTTATTCCTCATGTCGTGGCTTTCGTAGTCTGGTGTACGTTGGCAGTTCTCTGTTGCTAGATGCGCTTGGGCCCCCGCTGGATGTACAGATGATGAACAAGGCCGCCCAGTCATCCTCGTCTTCCTGAACCGTTGGTAAATATGCTGGTCAAGTGTTTGCTTTGGACCAGGGGGTGTGATGGTATGCCTAGTTGCCGGCACGGGCGTGCCAGCCACCGGCGTCATCTCCCCCCTCCAGTCGTCATGACTATGTCTTGACAACGGGAGCAGGCGAGGAGGAGGAGGAGTAGCAGGAGGAGGAGGAGGAGGAGGAGGAGGAAGTGCAGTATATGCTGCACAAATCCACTTTCACTCTAAGCTAATTCAGGCTCAAGACACCGTGCTTACTTCGCCTAGCCGTGAAGCACATGGTGGACATTGTCTTGCACGACGGTTCAACTGCCAGTTCCTAGACTCAGTACGGAATCGCATATTTCACCTAGGTGACATGTGATATAAAGGCTACCTGAGCATAAGCCACTAACCACAACGGTTGTCTGCTCTCCAGGCCATGGCTGAGTGTACGTCACGATGGATGGAAGCACGCTGGTTGAATGATACCAAGGAATACACCGTCTTGCAGGGAGGATGAATTCACTAATGTTGGTCTCAGTTCCTCCACCGGCTCCCATACACCAATTGGCTGCCCGAGTTACCGAGAACTGGATTTAACTGTGTTTGTACTGCTGTTCGCTATGAAAGCACACGTTGTCATTGTGGCAGCTGAGACCGAATGATATTTGCTAGGTTGCGGTTAACCAGTCTTTTGTGTACGAGCGCAATTCATACTTGGACGTGCATTTTCTGAAGGAGCTTGTGTAATGTGGCGGCTTTAGGTGAGATCTACAGGCGTAATGGATTCGCAGATAAAGGACAGGTCGATGAGTGATTGGAAGGTGTGGTTCTAATCAGGATAGGTTGGAACTCCGCCTTCGCTCTCGACGCTGGTAGCGATGGTAGCTGTAGCGACGATGGTGGTGTCGATGTCAGTGCCGATGGCTGTAGTTGTAGTAAATTACATGTCCCGATGAGCTTGTTTTTCTAGAGTTATTCAGTGGTGCGAAATGTCTGACCACCATTAATAGAAGAAAGAGCATGATTAAGAAAGGTATCATAACACGGCTTAGGAGGGAACATAGCCCTCTTGGTTCCTGCAAGAATTGAGTAGAATAACTAGAAGTGGTGGGATCGACGGGCACACATTGAAGCGACTCTACGACGGAGACGCTGCCAAGTCCACTTGCAGATAAGTTGTATAAAAACCGCGCTACTAGGACACTTTTAAGACCTATTTCAAGTGTATCCACATTAATCAGAATATACCTGATGGCGTGAGCGGACACCTGCGCATCTTCCGCAGCGTGGCTGGAGAACGAGTGTTTGGGAACCCGACGAACGCCCAGCTCTCTCCTGTCTAAACTGCGCCTGCGCATTAAGCCACTGCATGGGTCTACTGGATCATATGCGCATACACACCAGTAACACTGGAATACTCCATGATTCACCATACTAACGGCACAGGTGCTAGCTGAAATCCCGGAAGAATGTTTCGTCGATATACTGGCGCTGCCTGACGCAGATGCAGTACGTTCGGCTCTTCAGTGCGTCGGCAACCATCTTCCGTACTTCGTTTCTCAACCTGTAAAATGTTAATTTCCTCATATCAGCTCTCTGCCAGAGCCCGAAGTGGTTTGTTACGAGGATTTTACTCCAAGTTAGCGCATTGATTTTCAAGGAGATTAAAAAATTGAAGTTAACAAAATACCGCTTAGTATTCATGTTCATGCTGACTTCACATGCACAATTACCGCATACACTTTTTCGGTCATATACGCACGCACTAGGCTCATCCATCACTCACACATCAACACAACAGTGACGTTATCCAAGGTAGGTAATGATGAGCAAACTGCCACAAATACATGAGTGCGTGTGTCATGCCCGGTAGGTGAGGCCCTAGGCCAAACAAGGATTGCGTGCAATCTCATCTGCCGTCGACTGACCGGGACAAAAGTCTTGATCCAAGTAACAGAGTAAAAATATCCGCTGTCATGCCGAAAAACAGTCAGGGTCCTTCACTTCATATCTGGTGGTCAAAGAAACTGCGTAGGATAATCTGAGAGAGTGGTCTGGCCGTCGATGTCTGGACATGCGGAAGCAACAGCAATGCAGACGATCAAATTCAATTTTCAAGTCGCGGCTGATTCAGCGCTACACGGGTACACCTCAAGTTTGCTGACAGCAAAGTTCCAACGAGAGGCAACAGCCGTGTGATCCGCGAACCATTTGAGTTTTCGGTTAGAAGGCTGTCAAGGAGCGCGTTGACCGACCCCTGTATACTCAGTGCAAACTTCATCTAGGCAGAATGATGGACTATTCTGGGAGCGCGCGGACAAACCCCACTCTTAGTGGCAATGCTTGCAAGATAAATGTCCAGTCAATAACCAACGCTGAATGCCACAACTTGGATGAGAGTGACCATGCAGTTATCGCACCAGGTGTGACCGCTTATGATGAATAAGGGATCCGTCTCTTTTGGCAATTATGCGATCGCATAGCAAATTCACCCCATGTGTGCAGCATCCCTTGTGAGTCAATCAGCCTTGTCTCCTGATGTCTCTGGAGATGATTTCGAGTCAGAAAAACCGGGTGAACAGTATTCCCATATCCTTCACGCCAAATGCCCCAAGAATTCGCATTTATGCATAAGTCCCACAGGTCTCTTTTAATTGCTGAGCTTTCTGTTGATGTAGGCAGTCCATTGATACATAGGAGTCGAACAGGGCAATGTCGTCACATGTTTTCATTCTACATTCACCTGACGAGGGCGAGCTAACAGTACGTTTTCGGAGACCCCAGCTTAGTTTCAACACTCAGGATGTTTGGGGAGGTTAAAGTACATGTCCTAAGTCCCGACTGCTGCAGTTAATTTTCCGACCTTGGGTTCTTCATTTGGCTAATAAAATTTTTTAATGAGACGATCAAGGGCCGGACAAACCAAAGTAAGGATATTCTAACAGTTCCGGTGACTTGAATTTCTCAAGCCTAAAGAAATAACCGTAAGGCAAGCAATCAAATAACGGTAATGCACGTTTGGAGGAACGCATATATGTACGTGCTTCATTAAAATTCTGATAATTACCTTGGTGTTGTCCTACCGTGTTTCCTCTGTATTTGACAGGGCCTTAACTTGGAAGCTTTTGTCGTTGCAGTCTACTAAGAAGCCAATAAACCTTGTTCTAGTGGAAAATTCCGAAAAGTTAAGGAAGACACCCAATGTCCCTAATCTGACGTTACGCGATGTCGCTAGTCTGTTTACACATTTACACTCACCCGGCCAATATGCCAGAACTCGTCATATAGGCTTGGCTGTGGACTACCTTCGGAGTGGGCGGAAGATCAGCTGCTGGTACCTGAGGCCTCTACCAAGATGATCTCCCTGTGCAGGTGGGAAACATTTTTATATGCTCAGGAGGCATCCGTGCCTTCTACGAATAAATTGCTTCATTTGCGTTTCAATTAAAATATGTAAAATTCTCAGGACCGCATTCAGGTGACTATGTCCCCCTTATTAATTGACTGACTGAGTTCAGTCACGTGCGAAGCTGCTGCAAATACGAGGTCGTTCAAAATGTCATCTTGTTCAAACCAGGCGTGACTGGCGATGGCTCGGGCGGATACGATGAAAGCTGACTTGCAGTTAATCTCCGGCGCTGTGGTCTCCGTCTTTTGAAAATGTCGTGCTAAGTGGTGGAACTTCGTTGGGGACCGATTATTTGAGGGGACGTGATATTACTAGACTCGACGAACCTTCATCGACGGACAGGCTGAATACAAACATTACCCGGCTAGATCGCAGTTGGTAGCCAGGCTCCGTATTACAGGTGGCTGGGGGTTTGTTTACTGGGGCTATTTTGTGGGGCTCCATAATCACATCTGACCTATTTGGCTTCCGTTTTGCGTTTGAAGTTAGAATTAGGGTACCAGTTAATGGTTTCTGATTTTCGAGTTAGGGTTATGCGTTTAGGCTTAGGTTTTCGGGTTATGGTTAGGGTTTGAGCGTACGATTAGGTTTCAGTATTACAGCTAGGCTTTTCAGTTACGGCTGTCTAAGGGCAAAGGTTACTTTTACTATTTCGGTTAGGGTTAGGGTTACTGTTGGGGTTAACGGTTAACGTTTAAGGTTGAGGTTAGGGTTAGAGGTAGTGCTAAGGTTAGGATTGAATCGCTGTCCGCTTCCCCATTCCTGGCTACCAACTGCGACCTAGCCCATTTCCGTCAATTTTTCGCATGTGACCTTAGTCATGTGATAAACTAACACACAAATGGCGAAATAAATATATGTAAATAAAAGATATCTCCCATCCTATTAATTAAATAATAAATGCTGCTTGAACAGAAATAACCAGTACTATTTATTGGTCACCATAGAAATAAGAGGCTTGCCTTGGATTTCGAGGGCCACTATTGCCTTTATTTCGACAAGCCCTTTGCGACACTTTTGGTAATACGTAAATGTCTGATGCTATTAAAAGAGTTTTCGAGTATTGCTGGGTTGAATGTATATAGGTGTGTTGAAATAAGAACTTGTAATCTATGTAAAATGCGACTGTTAGAAAATCACTCGATGTTTACTATTTTTCCGTCCGAAAAAAGGCAAACTCGTCATACCATTCAGGCCTATCGTGAGCCTAAGCCCGACATTCAGCAGGGTACTACGTCGGTTGGAGTGCATTCAGTAATTT